TTGTTTACAAAAGTCAGCCAGTACTTTACAGAAGCTTGGAGCAAAGACATTTTATTTGTTTGATTGTCACATTGCATGTACATCTCAACAAACCTGTTTTTTCATTTTCTACAAATAACAACTCAGTAGAGTTTCAGTCCACTGTTTAACAATTAAGTTAATAAAACATTAACTTGAGTCAGTTGATGAGTTGTTGAAGTCCTTTTTTCCATGATTTTTTCTCAGTCTGTAGGATATTGCAGGTAAAGGCAATGTCAGGAGTGGGATTTGAACCCACGCCTCCATTCGGAGACCAGAAGTCCCATTGTTCAGGAAGGAATCTACCTTGAGTCTGGCGCCTTAGACCGCTCGGCCATCCTGACAACTGAGAAGAAAACTAACCTATTTGTATTTTTTCAAAAGAGCCTCCACTATGATGGCTATTCTGCCAGTACTGGCTGTATTATACAGTGACATATATGAACCACATGAACCTGAATCTTATCTATTCCTATCACTTGCTGGGATATGGCAGGTTGGGTGAAATGTTCTCTGAAAGCAATAAAAGTCACAGGAATGGGCAGAAGAACAGAGGAGGGAAAGAAGATAAAGAAAATGTCTTTAGTGTTGGTGGATGTTTGGACTGCCAGTGGCTAACAGCTTATTTTAGCAGCTCCACTCCTCTCACATTGTTTTTATTTCCTCTCAGAAGTTTTTCCTACTGCTCACTGCCTCCTTCTGTCCCTTCCATCTCGCCAGTTCTCTCCATCTACTCCTCCCTCCCTTCTTTCCTCCATTCATCCCACCTACAGTTCAGTAATTCATTTACTTTACAAACCGTTCATAAGAGAAAATAATGTCAAATCTGTATTCAAAAAGTAAACATCCACAAAACCAACAAGCAACACGTTTGTGCCTTCAAACCACAACTGAAATCATTACTTATTAAGCTCGAAAACATGTAATAGAGACTGAATGTGTGTTTTAAGGAGAGCTGCTGTTTGTTTTGGTCTCAGCCCTCCCACTCCTCTCCTCTCTGTTTTCTCTCTCTCTCCATCACCCTCTCCTTCTTTTTCTTTTCAGTCATGTGTGATGTGATGTGTGATGATTGAAACCACATCTACCCAAAGCCAACGCAAGCCCTCCCCACTTCCTTTGCAGTCACTCAATTTTTATTTCTCCTCCTGGTCTCTCATGTGTCTCAGTCCTCCACTATATATATATATATAAATATATATATATATATTCATATACACACACACAGTATATACATACAGTGTATGGAAAGACGGTAAGTAGATATATTTGAACTACACACATAACAGTATCTCAAGGACATCTGTGTTTTTTGTGTTGTGACCTACCAATATAATATATCAGCAGGATCTTATCAACACTCCTCTCTGCAAAGAAAGGTGTGGTGTGTGTGTGTGTGTGTGTGTGTGTGTGTGTGTGTGTGTGTGTGTGTGTGTGTGTGTGTGTGTGTGTGTGTGACAGAGAGAGAGAGAAATCCAAAAGGGGAAAAACATATATAAATCATTGCACTTCCAAAACACCAGTGTATACAGTATATGCAGTATATAATAATGATAATAAGGAAGTAGTGGAGGAAGTATTTAGATCCTTCACTGTAAGTAAAAATACTAATACTACATTGTCAAAATACTCTAGCCTATTACAAGTACAAGTTCTACATTGAAAATATTACCTAAGTAGGAGTATGTAAGTATAATCATGTACTAGTATAAAAAGCATTAAAAGTAAAAGTAATCAATGCAGTCCACTCTGACTGTTGTACTACTGTATATTTGATTATTATTGCTAATGTATTTTTGTACAGCAGCAGTTCACTGTTGTAGTTGGTTGAGGTCAGGTTGATTTTGGACTATATTGTATAGGACTGTATGGAATGATTATTTTCATTGTAAATTAATCTGCTAATTATTGTCTCCATTTATCGAATGATTGTTTGGTTTGTAAAAACTCTCAAAATAGTGTTCAAATACAATCACAATTACCCAAAACCCAAAGTGAAACCGTCACAATAAAACTATGAAAAGAGAGGGAAGTGTCGTCAGTCTCCTCCCATCTGGTGCAAAACAAATAAGTGTTGTCTCCCAGTTCAGTGCATACTAATAGTACAGTTAATATTGTTTACTAATTTTCATAGCATCCAGTTTTTGCTGCTATGTATTCTCTGCTTTGTGTTATTTGTTGTTGTGGCTTTGAGGCATGTCAATACATGCTGAATATGTAAAGCATTGATACTTACTGACAACACAACACAAGCATAGCTATTCCAGCATGTTTCACAAAAAAAAAAAAACAGGAAAGAAACAGGAACTTCGGTAAGCGACTGTCAGTTGAACAAACAAAATGTTTTTTTTGATTGTATATCTTTTTGTTGTTGTTTTCCGAGAGCTTTTCCATTAGCATCAACACTTTGTTTTACAGTAATGTTTGTAATGAGTACACTTAATGCTGTCCCTGTTTCATACACCACATTAAAACCTGCTAAAACAAAGCAGGTTTTAAGCTTTTTATTTTAATCCTACAGCTGAATCCAGTTTGGATCCATCCTAAAATAATTCAAAGGAAGAAGGGCATTCAGGTTTGATTTGATTTTTAAGTCACAAGGACATTTACAAGTTCTAAATGTCTAGAGCTTAATAAAAGCTGAATCTTCAGAAGGCCTGTATGTCTTAGACTATATTTGGCATCTTTGACACATATTTCTGGTGTTCTGAAACTGTGCGATATGCAGCTAAAAGTAAAGTCTGAGCTATATGAGTTACAGCAGAGACAAGAAGATGAAATGACGTCTGGTGCTCTGTGGGTAGCGCCTCCACTCTTTCCTATCTGTCTCTCCCGTCCTCGCTCTCTTTCTCCATCACATAAATCAGGGAATCATACATGCGTATCTCTTCCTCCTCCTCTTTCTCGCTCTGTCCATCCCGTCTGTCTCCCTCCACTGGCTTTTATTAGGACAGTAGATGGAGAAAGCAGAACCGATCCCATCCTCACAAACCCAGGTACTGACGCACACACAAAGCGTTGCCATGTGTGATGTAAACACCAGCGCATATGCTGCAGTTACAGACTGTCCTGGAGTTGCTTCTCAGCGTGTTTGATGTTTTTTTATTGTGTGAAAAAACAGGAAAAACCATAATAGCCTGATGATGTTTTGAAGTCAGAGGTCAGGTCAGGGTCGAGGTTCAAGGTCAGTCGAGCTGGGTGGGTCCGTTAAACCAGATTTTCTAGTTGAATGAGTCAAACGACACATTACACGGAGCTGCAGCCACATGCAAGATTCAAGCACATGAAGTGTGTGTGTGTGTGTGTGTGTGTGTGTCAGACACTCTTTTCCCTGTGGTGTTAATCTGCAGCATATAGATAAAAATCAGTTTATAACACACAGACATGTACAACGGTCCACCTGTTTTAATCTTTTGTGTTCATTGGTACGTACGTCAAGTACGTTTACTAAAGTACAAATTCAGTGTTCAGATTTGATTAAATATTCCTTTATGGGTTGAGAAAATGCTAATACCTCTTAAGAGAAAAATAAACTGAGAATATAAAAGGTGACTTTTTAGAGATATGTGATTCTCAGAACAGTTACTCTACAAACATATAATTTGATGCGTTGCTGTATATTAAAGTAATAAACCAAACAAAATGATGCAGGATCAGGATGTGATCCCATTCCTCTTTATGGAGTTGACTATTCTCAGGAAGGAGTCAATGCTTGAGTTCTTAGATTGCTCAGACTCCCAGTAGAGTGACAAGCACAGGTCAGTCTGGTTGTCACAAATCCAACAGATTGCCTTCACAAGTCCAGATTGACTGGATGTGTGTGGACAGACCAGTCTAAAAGACCAACGCCCAACGTGGGCGAACCCACGACCCTGAGATTAAGAGTCTCATGCTCTACCGACTGAGCTAGCCGGGCTACATAAATAGAAAAAATGCTTCCTATTTCAGAGCTGCGTGGGCTGAATACTAAGAGGGTCAGATGCTTTGATTCCTGGGTTGACTCCTGAAACCCAACACCAAAAGTTTATATGCAAAATGATACAGTATATAGAGTACTTAATTCTGGCAGCCCCTGTGGACAAAAGCGGTAGTGTTTCCACCGCCTCATTTCATTGATTTAAAGGGGAATCTGACCAAATCCGACCCAGTGGCTGGCATTAAGAATAAATATATAGAACCAGTCAATCTTCTCGCTGAGGGTCTCTGTTGGTTTGTTTATGTGGGTCATATAGAGGCATAAGAATTAAATTGAGACTGTTTCATAACCAGTTAAAAACTCCTTGTAGTACGTTTAAGTAAGGTTTTTAATGCTGGACTTTTACTTGTAGTGAAGTATGCTCACAGTGTGCTGCTTTTACTTCAGTTAATGATCTGAATATGTCTTCGACTACTGCTATTTAAAATGTGTTTTTAAAGTTACCAATCAGGTTAAGTTTAAAACTGTTCACACTATGAAACCGACTTGAGTCTAGGCTGTTGGAAACATTTTTGAATGAGTTGTTGGACATTTAAGACAATAGTAATGGTGTGGCTGGGCTGTGTGTGTGGTAAAGAACTGGAACAGGATGAGGCCTGGGGTATGGAATAATGTCATTATTGTGGGTGGATAGGAAAATAAACCATTGGTGACTAGATAAGAAGCACAGTTTAGTCTGCGTGTGAAACGGGAAGATAGAGAGAGTGAAGGAAAGGAGGGGAAGGAGAGGTCAGAGAAAGCAAGGAAATTAAACAAAAGGAAAGATGTTTCAAAGTCTCTCTTTATCATTTATGCTCAGTGGTCTAATCACAAATCAGTCCTTGCCACAAAATGTTTATTTTTTGTGTGAAATTATGGATACTATCACCTACATCCAGCTTTTAAATACTCAAAAAAGTAGCTCCATTTTAAGGAGTCCAAGTCCAAAAGGTAGAGAACCGCTGCCACAGCTCTAACCTGCCAAATATCAGCTTTTAATGAGACAGATGAAATGACTTCAACAACAAAATAAAGATAAATCCATATTTTATTCCATTCTCTCATTCCGATTTTTCAGTCCACAGCAAAAGTCATGGTGAGTCCCAGTCATCACCATTCCCAATGACAAACATTATCAGTAAAAAACAGACAACAAAATACTGGATTTACAACCCAAGCTCATATCGGACGGAGTTTCATTCCAAAATAAGAACCATTTGACAAATGTTAAACAAACTCTTCCTCATCATTAAAGCTTCTGAGCAATTTCAACAATTTCAAACCGGTAATGTTTTGGAATGAAACTCCTCATTTACACCCAAATGGCTTGGAGCTTTTTTTAATACACAGCTTAGGGACTGAAAGTTAAACCTTTTTTTTTTGGGCCTGTTGAGAAAGCCTTATGATGGTGTAAAATAAGATGTGAGTGTTCAGTGTAAATCCCCATATTTAGGCTTTGTGTCCACCAGGTATTTCTTTACAGGGAGCAGCGCTAAACAGTCTCATGTGGGCAACGCCAGTCATGGCTTCAGCACTCACTACAGTACAAGACCGAAAAAAAGAAACCCATTAAAGGAGCTTTTGATTGTAGTTGCAACAATTTGAACCTCTAGTGCTCAGTGTTGTAAGCGTAAAAATCATGCTATGGCTGCCAGCGCTGTGGGGAAACATGCGTCATGTGTCATTTCCACTGTAAACAACAAGGACAAGGAATTGATTTGTAGAAAATGTTCCCAGTGGACACAGAACCTCATGTAGGTGCAATATACGTTCCCAATAACAGTCTCCTGCTTGTGGAACAAATCTGTGGTTACTTGCAAATCACAAAAAAAAAAGATTTTGACACATTATGTAACATTACAACCCATACACGACAATATTTTCAATGAAACAAGATTAGTCTTTTTATATATATTACCAATAGCAAAAAAATATAGAGCAATTATTTTATAGTCCCTCCCTCCCAAGGAAAAAACAAACAAACAAAAGATGTTTCAGTAAGGGAAACATGTTAACTCTAAAGGGATTGTCACAAAAGGGCAAGTGAGGGAACTGGTTTCAGCATGGACACCATAACTGAAACATCCACACTGGTGTTTTTTAATAAAGGGAGTATTGCGAGATTTATTATAGTTTTTGCCTTTCATCAATCATTGAAAAAAATGGATGAAAGTGTTCCCCTGATGAAAGCTGTGTTTCTGATAATTAAAATTCTCTCTATACAATTTACACAACTACTCAGAGATAACTGTTGAAAGACACTGCAAGTTGGGACGTTTCATCACATATCAGACAAAAAGAGAAAAAAAAAAAAGAATTGGAAGAAAAAATAGTAACTTAAAGTTTAAAAGATAGCAGCAAATGACGTAAAGAATCAAAGGCAGCTGAAATAAACACACTTTTGTATCTGAACCAATCAAATCACAATGTGGTAACAGCGTGTAAGTCTGGCATCAGAAACAACCTGGCAACCTCAGCCCACTCTCACCCTTTTTATACAGTTTGAAAATCTTTTTCCCTCTATAAAATACATCAAGTCATGATTGCAAATCCAACTGCTGATTGCCTGGAAGGACACAAGATGGCCGCTGCGAAGTGTCACAGATGGCAAGTGCAATGAAGGCTCCTTCTGTTTCGGAGTAGTTAGGAAAATATGTGTTTAACGTCTCAACAAACATCAACTATTTCCAATTAATTTGCATGCCAACGAAGCACTTTGAACTGAAAAATTAACAATATTTCCCTCAGCTGGCACAAATGATAGTGACTAAAGACACAGTGGAAGAATATTTTTCAGTAATTTTTTTTGTAGATCCCCTTTTTTTGTTTTCCCCTTTTCGGTCTGTAAAAATGAGATGAGTGACGGTGGAAGAGAAAGTCTTCATCCTCATGTCCAACACTGTGATTTTATTTGAGTGTCAGGGGGCTTTCTGGAGACTTCTGTTCCTGTGTATGTGACTCAGTGTTGAATGTTTGCTTGCTTTCCGACTCTGTGTGCTAATTCATGAATGTGCGTCAGCTTTATGTTTCTCTCAGTGTGTGTGCGTTAATGTGTCAGCAGCTGTCCTCCAGAGCGTTGACGACTTGTTCCAAAATGTCGGGGCATCGGTCGGCGATCTGCTGCAGGACCTGATTGGCGTACTCCTGGAGCTCCGCCCCCTCACTCTCACACAGCGCTAACTCCGCCTCCAACTGAGAGAGAGAGAAAGACACAGACAGAGGGAGGAGATTTTAGACGTTTTGTGCACAGACATCTTGTGAAACAGCAAACATAGTGATGCCACTTCTAATGTCTGTATGGTTAGTATGAAGCTGAAGCCAGAAGCTGGTTAGCTTAGTATAAAGACTGGAAAGAGATAAAAACAGCTAGCCTGGCTCTGGCCAAAGGTAACAAAAACTGCATACCATATTAAAGCTCACAAATTAACAAGTTATATTATTATTGTGCATTATTATTGTGATAAAAAAAACCCACAATATCATGGGAACCTAGTGAGATTTTAAAGTTGCTGTGACACAAATTTACCTTTGCACAGATCCCGGGTTTCCCCAGTTTCCAGTTTTATGCTAAGCTAAGCTAACTGGCAACTGGCTGTAGCTTCATAGTCGATGAACAGAGTGGTATCAATCTTCTAATCTAACTCTTTGGAAAAAAGCAATTAAGCTTATTCCCCAAAATGTACAACTGTTCCTTTAAATTCCACGTTACTATGAGAAGCAAGACGGAGAACGGACATAAAGGAAATATATAAGAGTTTTTAAATTAATCTATTTTAAATTAAGCACACAACAACAGGCAGAAAGACAAACTCTCCTCACAGCCCCAGGGACGATCAAGGAGCATGTTTAATGTGACACACACACACATGTACACGCATATCAGACTGTATGTTTCAGTAATCTGAAAACACCACAATGTAGTTCTTTCTGCCCATATAGAGTGGAACATTTCTGTGAGAGAGCGCTGATGTTATTTTCTTTGGCTGCAGCCGAGCTGAGACGTCAAACCTAACTGACTTAATGACCAATACATCTGTATCAATAAGAGCGCCGCTCAAACAGTCATGTAACACAAGCCCACATTTATGTTGCTGTGTGTGTGTGTGTGTGTGTGTGTGTGTCTGAGGCCTGGGTCAGATATTGGCAAAATATTTCCTCGTTAAGCCATAACCTCTTCCCTCTGCTCTCATCTCTTAGCCAGCAAACCTCAGTAGCATTTTATGTTACAGTGGCTTTATTCATGTGTAAAACTGCAGTAAATTATAATCCTGTTAATGATGAATGAAATCTGCTCAATAAATCACATCCCTTATTTGTATATCAAGTTGTTGTATATTATATATTATTTTATATAATGTCCTGAACATAAAGTAGGTTTAGCTCAGTTTTCACACATTGCTGTATTGTTTGTTTCAATTTAGATTCAGAATTTAGGATTGGAGATTACAGATTGGACATTTACCAAGCAGATGGGGACTAATGAAAGACATTAGCAAGTGGCATTTTGGGAAATCTAAAATGTGTTTTGGAGCTTGGCCCATACTAGGAAAGAAAAGTCGGGATATTACGGATCTGCTGCATCAATTTTGATCATTCTTTTTTCAAAATCTGCCACTTAAAATGCTTTACACCCTTTACTAAACTTTATATCCAATACTAAACTGAGGGACATCCCTTTAAATGGTTTTCAATATTTATACACTAATGTCACTGACTAATGGCTAATATCAATATGGTAATTTTATAATGATTATAACTAAACATTAAAACAAAAAGTAATCAATATGTACACAATAATATGTCCTCTGGCCAATACCATTATTTTTGTATTAAGCATACACAAACAATACATATGTCCTACATGTCCCTTTATGTGTGTTTGCAGGTAATTCAACTTGGCTTTACATTTTAGTTGCAATCCCCCAGAAAAACACGGCAGTAAAGATAAGGTTGTAAGACGACTGAGAGGAGATAAATGGTTTAGTATGTATCTGCTGTCTTCTGCTCGCTGACTCACACAGCCTTGACCTACACCGGGGAAAAACACTTGAAAAGGCATTTCAAAATCAAGACTAAATGGGTCAAACACAGTGCTAATACTGTCATGAATGAATATACAAAATGCAAGATATACCGGCATGATATTAAGTTACATCACAGTCTGCATATAAAGCTTAAATAAAGGAATAAATGAGAGATAATTTATCCTGATCATCCTAATAATTTCTTTAAAACAATAACATAACCTTCTCATTTGGTTCAGTTCTATAAAGACTAACATATGAGATCAGCATATGGCAGCTACTATAATTTTATTGTAGTTTTTAGTATTTAGCTTTAAGGTTTAAAGGAAAATTCAGGTGTTTTACAACCTGGATACTTTAAAAAATATCGGCTATGGAACTGTTCTGGTAATATTTTACTCACTAAATTTAGTGCAGAGATCTGTTAACGCAGAAACACTGTAAGAAATTAAATCAGGAAAACGACACGAGCAGTAAAACTGGTTTACAGACATACTACCAGTACAAGTCAGTTATGTTAAAATAATGGTTCCCAATGTTTTTTCAAATGAAACAGTGTCTTCTTGCGTTTCCCTTCTCGCCGTTTGAATATGTTAGCATTAATATGTTTTCCCATCAAACATATGAGTTCATTTGGCTAATGTTTTATATATTTAGTCTGTAGAAATGTATGTAGGACAACAATTGTTTTTATTTTTCCTTTCCCATTATCCATCTTGCGGCCCACCAGAAAGGTCCTGACTGCCAGGTTGAGAAAGTTACTGGTCAAACTAAGAACATGTTTAACACCTTAATGACTGCTCACTCTAGTGGACTCTCTTACAAAAGTGGCCACATCCTTAAAACTCTACAATTAACCTGGTACAAAAAATGCTCTCATAACTGAATGATAGCCAAAACTAATAAAACACAAAACACAGTTTTTCCTCAGAAAGTAATCATAATGTAATCCTCTGCAGAGAAAAAAGTCCCCACGTTGCTAAGCAATAAACTTCCTCTCTTGCTGCATTCACTCTATAGCTCATTTATGGCCTGAAGAAATTAAATATAAACAATGTTGCATGATACAGTTTCCAGTTATGAGGTATAAGTTTGGATGCTGTGGTTACAAGCTCCCATGGATCACGTCTCATGCAATCACAGTGTGTGGTCAGAGAAATGCAGATGAAATAATGTAAGTGGGCAGAGAGTCAGTGTTGCCAGATTCATGACTTCTGTAAGAGTGTTTGTTTCAATGTGTATGCGTGTGTGTGTGTGTGTGTGTTTCGGAGATGCATTAGTCTATGTGTTGTGTAGTGAATGTGTGTGTGTGTGATACAGTGGTTTGGCTGTTTGAAATGACAGGCGTGTGTGAGTGCACAGCATGAGACTAAAGCGGTATACTGCAAGCTCAAGTTATGATTTAGTGAATGACAGAGGGGATTGTGGGAGGGGTGAGACGTGTGTGTGTGTGTATGTGCATGTGTGTGTGTGTGTAAGGGAGAGAGAGAGAGAGAGAGAGAGAGAGAGAGAGAGAGAGAGAGAGAGAGAGAGAGAGGGTTTGTTTAAGATGATTTTTACTGCAGCCATTAAAGCTCCATTATCGTGACGGATCATTATCTGTCTTCTTATCAGGGGCTTGGACACACATACATACACACACACACACACACACACACACACACACACACACCTACACACACACACACACACACACACTACACACACACACACACACACACACACATTCATACACACCCTAAAGTGAACACAGTTGAAGCCTCGCACTTGTGCACAAACATGTACATGCACACGCAGGTTATCAGCTTGAGAATGAGGATGAGGGTAAGATCTGTGTGTGTGTGTACACTGACCCCTTGACACACATTGCAGGGCTTGAACCTCTTTGCAGAGGAATGCTAATGTTTTCTAAAGAAACCATAACTCAGCAGAGAGAGATAGAGACTGAGAGATTAACAGAGAGAGAGAGAGAGAGAGAGAGAGAGAGAGAGAGAGAGAGAGAGAGAGAGAGAGAGAGAGAGAGAGGGGCAACAGACGACGGGTAGAGGTAGAGAACGAGAGTACAAATATATCTGTCTAACTGGAGCGAATTAGCCCATCCACATCTTACAGAGTTACAGTTTTTCATTTATAGATGATTCAGAGGTCAGAAGTGTGTTTTTTTTTTTAAATTAGAAAACTGTCTTTATTCACTTCACAGCTGTGCATTTGAGGTTTAGGGGAAATTATGTTCTATGAATCATGATGTCCAGTTCCATGTCTCTATAGATTAGGGCTGCTTACAGTGAGGCCCATTGACCCACTTCCAGAAACAACTGTACCAAGAGCTGCACAAATAACAGTTACACCTATAGCGGCACTGAGAATGTTCTTCTGTTTTACTTTATGTAAAGTTATGAAAAGAACGTTTGAGAGTCAAAAACAACTACAGAAAGTTTGATTATGAGTGTAACAGTGCACTTGAATAACATGATTGCAAAGAAGCCATCTGAACTCGCTGAAGTTTTTGAAAAATTTGGTCCAAAAGAGACATCTGCTATAAATTTCAACCAATCTTACAATGAAAAAAAGAAGGTGTTCAATAACTTTTAAATATTTCATACTGTTTCCCAATACTTGCCTGAACATAAGCATGTTAAAGCTCAAACAAAAAGTGGCAGAGCAGCACTGCTAGGTAGGAAGTGTGGAAGGTAAGAAAATAGAAGCTGAGGTGAAAAGGTCGACTGTTTCTGAAAACATTTTTAAACAAAACTGGAAGTAACACTCGGGGGGGGAGGAGGAGGAGAGACAGGGTCAGGACACACAAAAAATCTAGAGGGCAAAGTTTGACCTAATATTCCTCAGCAATAGCATACCAAGTTGCAGCAGTAAAGATAGGATCATGAGGTTTAAAAAGGCTCCAGACAGTGGCTGAGCAGCAGCCCTGAGCAGCGGTATAGAAACACCATTATGAGTAAGAGCAAAGGGATAAAGTATAATAGGCCTATATTGACTATTATAATCCCTGTCTCTCTGTCTGTCTCTATTTAAACCATTAGGTTCTTACAGGCTTACACTGATCTTTTCTTTACACTGTATGTGGACTGCTTTATAAGTTGGCTGCCTGTGCTGCGCCAAGCCCAAAAGCGCCTGACCGAATGTGTGTGTGTGCTCAGTCGTAGTCCAGTA